TAGATAGATAGATAGATAGATATAGATATAGATATAGATATAGATATAGATATAGATATAGATATAGATATAGACAATGAAAGCAGATTTCCAAATTCTTTGGTCCTCTTGGGAAGCGGGAAAAGGGTTATTCCTGTTATTTTATTAATTTGATGTTTTGTGTTTGTATTTAACCAGCAAAGGCATGCCATAAACAAATTCAGACTCTTTACCAACTGAGCAGATTAATGCAATTGCAAAATTCTGATTAGCCGCCAATAGTGTTTCCCTATCCTCTTCTTAGGAGAACAGTTGCATATGAAACTCTGTAGGGCCCAAAATGGGAGAGGGATCCATGGCAGATTGAAATGGCCAAGAACCGCCACCCTCATCTCATTCACCATTAGTCACTTGTCTTTGTGCTGGGAGAGGGGAATCGTAACAGATTTTATTCCCTTGCTGATGTCATTGGGTGCTATCACTTTTAAGGGTAGAATACCTGTTTCATAAAGAGTAAAATAATTAGGCTTGCTGAAAGCTGAAAAAAAGCAAAATACAAATGATTTATATATACAGCTATTTCCATGTGTTAGGAATTTTGAACAAATCAAGATAGAGGAAAATTCTAGCTTCTGGATAACCAGTTATTCAACAGTTCAGGTGGACGCTACTCAAAAACTATTATACAGCTGTTATATCTGAACAGTTTTAACCATCATAGGATAATAATAAAACTCAAAGAAACAGTGAAAAATCTCAAAGACCTACAAAAGGAAAAGTATATCCCTTTCCCTCTCCAAATTCTGTGACTAAATAGTAAAAAAGGCCACAGTGGTTCTGGCTGTAATATTGAGCGGTCATTGAAACGTCACTCAAATAGAGGGAAGATATAACAAGACAGGTGACAAAAGAAGACAGTTAAACCATAAGTAAACCACACCTTCTCGCAAAAAGAGAGACTGTGTCAGATGATCTAGAAAGAATCATGGTGTTGAAAGGAATCTTGGAGGTCTTTTACTCTAATCCTTTTGCACAGGAATACTCAGACCATCCACAATAAATGGATATCCGATCTTTGTTTGGGGGAAAAAAAGTCTAGCAATAGAGCAGCATTTCTCAACCTTGTCAACTTGAAGATGTCTGGACTTCAACTCCCAGAATTCCCCAGCCAGCATTTGCTGGCTGGGGAATTCTGGGAGTTGGAAGTCCGGACATCTTCAAGTTGACAAGGTTGAGAAACACTGCAATAGAGCATGACTCCATAAAGCAGACTGTTCTGCTGCTTAATAACTCTCACAATGAGAAATTCCTCCTTATTTCAAATTCTGATCTCTCGGTATAAAGTTTTCATCCACCAGTTCTTGTCTTTCCTTTAGGTGCTCTGAATAATAAATCCACACTTCTTCCCTCTGTCATCCATGTTTTAGAAGACTGTTATACTCCTGTTAGCCTTCTCTTCTTCTGACTTAATCTTTTCACTGTTCTTTATAGCTTTACCTTCCAGTCCCTTCACCATTTGTGTTGCTCTTCTCTGCACTCTTTCCTCAGATCTTTTTTGTGTTGTGGTGACCAGAACTGAATACAGTATTTCAGGATGATCTGTCCAACACTTGACTACCAGTAAAATGGTACTATCACTTCCCCTGATCTATATTGATGTGGCTCAAAATGTTATTGGCTCTTTTGACACTTGCTATCTTATGCTTAATCTGTAATCTGTCAGAATGTAGACACTCCTATCTAGCATTACTGCTGAACCACATGCTGCCTGTCTTCTTCCTGTGCATCTGATTTTCCTAGGTAATTTGAGAACCTCATTTTTTACCATTGAAAAGCATTTTCTTGGATAGAGTCCATTTTCTAAATGTGTCCTTTTTGTTTGCCTCAGAATTCTTTATGCAACAAAATTTTGTCATCTGTCTCTCATTTTTATTTCTCTGGTATTGCTTGTGGTTGGGCTTTCTTATCTCGTTTTTCTTAACCGTTCTGAATTATTTTCTGCCTCGGGATTTTCATACATGGAATTTTTCTTACTTTTCCTCTTCATTTATCAAAATCAACCCTCTTGAAGACTAAAACACTGATCTGATTGCTTTTAGTTCTCCCTGCCTGAAATACACTGAATTATATATCATATTTCCTTTCCTTTTTTTGAATGACAAATATGGTTGACAGGCATTCAGTAAGCTAAGCATAATTTTCAAGAACAATCTCCCCCTATGCCTGAACAGAAAAGTTGTCAATCTGTGTGTGCGACTTGCTCTAACATATGCTGATGAAATAATGGACACTAACCTCACAATCGTTAAAAAAGCTATGAGTGGCGCAAAGAAGCCATGGAAAGGTGCATGCTCAGAATCTTAAAACCTGCACATGGATTAGAGAACAAATGAAAGTATACAATAGCATCAAGCATGTCAGACTGACCCCAGCTACTCCCTAAGAAAGAATGACCCTTGACTCCCATAGGATTTAGAGAAGAGGTACTTTTACTAGAGATGCTGAGTGCAGCATGGATGAGACAAACTCTGAAAAAAGAAACTGCACAAAAATTAGATATTGAAAGGAATCCCCAATGTCCAAAACCCTCCTCCCTGGGAAAGGAGTCCAATCAGGTTCCATTCCAATGTTTTGGGAACTCGATGCCCCAGGCACCAATGTAAATTCCTTTCCCAGGACTAGTGTCCTTGAAGCTCAGTTTGGCATCTCTGGTTCCTGTTAGTGTCCCTAGTCTTCAATTTCCCGCAGCATTCTTTCACATCTTCAGCATGCTTCCCTTCCTAGATGCCCCCTGCCCCACCCCCCCAGTTATGGCAGTTGCTAGCGATCTTCAAAGAAAGTGAAGATGAGCAGCTGACAGAGTAAAAGAACTGGGTTGGTCACAAAGCAAGAAGGCAAGTGGACCAAGGCAGTTATAGAATTAATTCCACTTGATAAAAAGCACCCACAAAAGAGACCTAAAATAAGTTGGATTGACGACATCAGCAAGTATTGTGGGCACAATTGGCAAAAGAAAGCTCAGGACCGTATTGGAACATGCAAAAGAGGCCTTCATCCTGCAGTGGATAGACAATAACTAAAAAGATGATGATGATAGATCATATAGCCACTTTCTGCCAAGTTTCCTACAATTATCACTTCTTCAACAATTTCTTTCCTAGTAGAATGCATTAGACCCAATGTAGCTGAACCTTGAGTTCCATCCTCCACCTAATGGACAATGAAAGTGTCTGCAAGGCATGTAAAGAACCCTTTGGGAGCAGTTATTGCAATGTTTGATTCCCAATTAATGAGGGATAGTTGAAATTCCCTCATTTCCATTGCAATGCATTTCCTGGATTCCTCACACATTTAAACAGTAAGTAATTCAGTTGTATTTTTCTGCTTGGATGGTACACACACAACATTGCCATTATTGCTCTTTTTTCCTTTAATATTCACCAGATGCTTTGGGCAATTTTCACCCTTAGTGTCACAATTAAATGCAGGAATATTATTAAGAATTTGAACAGTTCCTGGATTTGGGACAAAATTAATCTTATCAGCTACTGCTAGCCGCTTGGTCTCAGATGTTAAAATCTTGTCCCCTCCAGTGAGTTAAGCAGATATAGGAACTGCCTTGTTTTGAATATATTTCTTGGGACTAATTTTAAAGTATATTAAATTCTTTGTATTTTCCAGATGGAATCCATACACTCACCTGTGCTCTGATGCTGCTGAACACTGATCTCCACGGCCATGTAAGTATGGCTAATAAAAAGAGACTAACCTTGTTTCTCCCCTGAGATTCCCCCTTTGACTCTTCCCTTATGGTAAATATGAGGCTATCTGGGAATACTAGAATAGTTTTGAAATGAATATAGTAAAACAAATGGTAGAGGAGAGTGTCTTAAACAGTTCAATTAAATCTAGTTTCATGCCCCAGATAGAGCAAAAGACACTGCCAAATGTAGCTTTTTTAAAGTATACTTTTGATCTTAGCTAGAATATCAGTTAAAATTATCTCCAAAGTATTTGTTAACATAAAATTCTCTGGTTTCTATTCTTCACCTACCATAGAAGTTAGCCATGTGTTTTACCTCAATGTGAAGAAATTTTCAAGTTAACAACTAGGTTTAACATGTTCAAGTGAAGGATTAGCCGCAGTTGATTTGCTTCTTTGATTCATCAGCCCTTGAGAAAGTCCTGAACCATCTTGACATAAGCTATCTGGAATGTCTGCAGGCTTTATTATAATTCATTAAGGTTATAACGAAATACAGACTTGAGGCTTGAAGAGCAACCCTTTTTTGTTTAAGTAAGTGAAACTTACTTAAGAATGTGTGACTCCAAATTAGCCTGATGCAAATATTGCCCTACTGAGAGGAGACAGATATAATGATCCTTCAAAATACAATGTCAAAATGTATAATATTTGGGGGGGTCTGATGTTACTCTACCACAATTGGTATAAATACAAATCTAGAAATTAATGTATACAAAATCCAGAACTTCATATATTGTAAATAATTCCATTTGTGTTAAATCTCATCAATGACTCTGTCAGACCTGCCCCAGTCTGATCCCTTAGGGAAGAAAAACCTTTGACTCCATTTGTTTGAACTGAAAAGTACTTTTAGTAAAAGATGCTGGTTGCAGTAAAGTCAGACGGAATCTGGGTTTCCCATGCAACAAGACCAAACTATTTCTTCAATCCCATCCCTCTCCCCTATGACCAGTCCAACCCCAGCCAATGTGATGCAACCTGGATGTTTCTTTCCACACTCAGGGCTAACAGCCTTGAAGATGCCTTGGCATGAACTGGTCCCATGGTGATCTGCTTTTCTTCAGCTGTCATCTCCCTTCCCAAATTCCCACACAAAAATGCATACAGATTTATTGCTGCCCCTTTGTCTGCCCCTCATTCCTCCCCTCCCAGTCCTTTGATAGCAGGACACCAGGGTGGCACCAAGCCGAGGATGGTGGCTTTGACACACTCATTAAAAGGTCTTTAATTTTGTGTAAATAAAGAACAAAGAATAATAAAAGAATAGGTCAAATATCTTTAAGGTTATCAAATGGAAATTATGGGAATCACTTTGGTATAGTACTTAAAGTGCTGTCCTAGAAACCAGGAGACTATGAATTCTAGTCCCCCATTAGGCATGAAAGCCAGCTGGATGTCTTTGGGCCAATCACATTATCTCAGCCGAACCCACCTCAAATACTTGTTGTAGGGGAAAAAGGAAAGGAAGGTTTACTAAGCACATTTGCCATCCTGAGTTACTTATAAAGTAATAAAGGCCTGATCAAAATCTAATAAATAGAATAATAAACCATACATATGTATTAAGTAGTACAATTTGTCATAAAAAATAGAAACAAAGCTAGATAAAAACAATTATGAAGTTGGGTGAAAGTGTGTGAAATTTAGCCCCATGAAATTTTTTTGTGTGTTATTGTGTGTGCCTTCTGGCAACTGGTCCCTGCAGTTTTCTCAGCAAGGTTTTTTCAGCAGTGGTTTGCAATTATCTCTTTCCTCGGGTTGAGAGAGCTCAACAAACTGGAAGTCATCCAGCTGGCTTTGCGCTTAAGGTTGGACTACAACTCATGTTCTCCTGGTTTCCAGCCTTAACCATTACACCAAACTGGTTCTTGCATGAAATTCTTTAGTACTGTATATGTGGAATTCTTCATGGAACATTTTAGTTTTGCATTAGTATAGGAATAGGCAACCACCAATTCCCAAAACAGTATCACTGAAATCAGATGACAAGATAGTTAGATTTTAATAAAATGACTCTGGCCAATGGGGGTGGGGGCAGTTGAGCTACTTTAAGCATGGTAAGAAAAGTGAGCTGCTTCTAGGAGGCTCCCCATTCTCATCCTTACCCTTGAATCTGCAAAGGATAGGCAGACAGGGATACTCTGATGTTTGTAACATTTAGTTTCTTAAATTAGTATGTTTAAAAAGGAGAACATTTATCTTGCACATCAATAAAACTAGAATTATGTGCCTTTGTCAGATGAAGTCTGAAATTTGTTGAGTACACTGAAAAACAATTACTTTAATTAAAAAAAAAATACTCCACAGTTTTAAAAAAACCAAATGGATTTCTAGATCAGCAGCATTAAATGTCATAATTTGCATCTTTATATATGTGGCATAAATATTATAGTTCAGTTAATCAATCAGATTTAAAGCTGCAATTCATTAAAACTCTCTACAAGAATACAGTCCCCCAATATCTTCTCCCACCCATTTACTTTCAGTAATCAAATTGTGTTTTTTTTAAGTATGACCATTAAAATAGTCCAAGATAAGTAACTGTAATATAACTCATCTATATAATAAAGGCAAGGCAAATGTAATCCAAGCTCCTCTGTGGAGCTCAGTTGGGTCACTACAAGTCATTTCTTCATTGGGAAAAAGTCCATATTTTTGAGAATTATTTTTCAAGCACCATGTTGCATTTCAAATGTGGTCCTTTGCCGTAAAGCTGACCTACTTATATTTCTGCCTAGATTTTCATCTTCTTATTGGCTTCAGTTTTTCTTTTTTTTCCAGACAATTTGGTCCCTTTAATTATAATTGGCAGCTTTCAATCTTCATGTTGCCTCTTTGCCCAGACCTTTTGTTAAAGTGATCGAAGGCCCTTCTGAGTACTATGGATCTGTCTTTATTGTTGCCCATGTTTTGGTCACTGTTTGTTCCTTTACTATTGCATTTTTTATGGTTATTTTCTCTGTTTCTACTTTATGTGGAATCACTGGGAGTTGGGCAGTATATAATTTTAATAATACATTTAATAAATAAATAAGTCTCTGATATTTATCCAAGTCTCTGCCACCTTCCTCATTTTATAGAAATAAAAACGATAAAATGAAATACGTGAGAGACAATTTGTCTCAGAACAACCAATGATTTCATTCAGTAGTGGAGTTTTGCGGTCTTGCCCACCACTGGCATTGAACCATCCCCTCTCTCCCTTCCTGCCAGTCCATAGAGCCGGAAAGGTTGGGGAACTGTGCCGTATACCATTCCAGACAAATGGCAGTCCAATCGCTTCTTAAAAGCCCCCAGTGTTGAATTCAATTGAATTCTATTTGGCCAAGTGTGATTAGACACACAAGGAATTTGTCTCAGGTACAGAAGCACTCAGTGAACGTGCAAAGCAACACAATCATCATCATCATCCCAATAAAAAGGGAGAAGAAAAGAACGATAAATAATACTACAACTATACTACATGGGTAAATATGCATAGACATTAGAGAGATAGAGCACCCCCAATCTCAGGAGGCAAGCCGTTCCACTGGTTAATTGTTCTCACTGTCAGGAATTTTTTCTTTAATTCTAGGTTGGTTCTGTTCTTGATTAGTTTCCATCCATTGCTTCTGTCAGACCTATCTGAGCTTGGGCATTTAGGAAAGAAAGACCCTTGACTCCATTTGTATTGAAAGCTAAAGTGGTTACAGCATAAGGAAAGCCAGATCTGAATGTTCTTGCATAAACCCTTACCCCCCCCCTCCAATAGTCCTTTCACAATTGTCCAATGGTATTCAAACTAGGTGTTTTGGTAACAATGCTAAATTTTGCACCTCTGGTGGGTGCTCACATTCCATTCTCATGCTTGTGTCCTTGGATCTGCCAGGCTCTGTCCTGGGCTGGTACCTGTGGTCCCAATCGTCCCACCTCCCTATATCCCCCTACTTCACCTTCACCTTTTTATGGCAGGATGCCATCAAACGAAGCAGGGCCGAAGTGATGCAATGACAGATCAGACCTTCTGCCCCTTTTGAAAAAAGTGGTTTATTCCTGAAACAGAAAGAAAACAAGATAAATGGTTAGTTTATGAGGGTTTCAGTGGGGTTTGTCGTGGTATTTATTGTGGAATTTGTGGAGGATTCTTGGGGTTTGAACATGTTGAGCATTGTCTCATTCAGTTTCAGAAGGGTATCAATCCTTCCCTGGTATCAAGTATTGTATTTTTCCTCTATGTTTACGTGAATCTGAGAGCTCTTTGACTTTGAAGTATTGTTCTCCCTTGGTAAGGACAGGGATTGGAGGTGGTTTCTTTGTGGGGCACAAGTGGGAAGTGATTGCCAGTTTCAACAGGCTGCAGTGGAAAACTGAGTGAACGTGTCTGAAGGTTTTTGGTAGTTCCAATTGCACTGTCACGGGGTTGATAATTTTAATTATAGGGAAAGATCCAATGTATTTTAGTTTCTTTGAGGGTTGTCTTGATTGGAGATATTTGGTGGATAAGTCTCCAACGTTAAAGTCTTTTGGTTTGGATCATTTGTTATCAGCTTATTTTGTGTATGTTTCATGCACTTCTTCCAGTGCTTTGCAGACCACTGGCAAAGTGCTCTGTAGCTTATCGGTCTAGTCTGTTAATGATGTGTTTTGGGGTTTGATTTGTGGCAGTTCTGGTATGACCACGAAGTGTTGACCTGGTGTAAAGAACGGTGTAAAACTAGTGCTGCTGTGGTGTGCATTGTTGTATGGGAGGAGGTCAGCCCAATTGCCTTGTTGGTAGTTAATGAAGCATCAAAGATATTGTTGCAGGACGCCATTCATGTGTTCACAATCTCCATTCATGGATGATGGGAGGAATCAAATCCTTGTGTGGTACTCAATATCCTTAGAAATGCTGGCGCCAACATTGAGAAGTGAATTGAACTCCACAATCTAAGATGATCCGCTCTAGGTACCATGGAGTCTAGATACATGTTGCACAAAGAGCCTGGCCAGTGTACATGCCAAAGGGATTTGGGAACATGGCATAAAGTGCATCTG